GTTGAGTTATTTATTATTCAGGACAATTTATCATTTAACCTCACTGAAATTCGATTGGCAGAATTCGACCAACCAACAATCATGGTTGGACAAACATGATGTTGGCCACACATCATTATTCAGCAGTAATCAATAGAGCGTATTGATTGGTATGCTGTAAATATTTATTGATCACTTAAAGATTTTAAAATCTAAGCGGTTCCCCATTGTGAAAATTAGAACAACCCATGCAGTAGGCAAGCAATATTGTTTTCAACTCAATTAGATTGTCATCAGGCTTTATACTCTCAAATATACATGAGAGTACATGTTAAACCAATATCAAGGCAGTTTAAGTGAATAATCTCAATGAAGTAGAGATTACATCACTCACTATTCATAATAGGTAAAAGTACCAGTTGATATTAGGAATAAAAATGCAATAACTAAAGAAACGTCCTGGGTTCGAATCCTGTGGGTAGTAATTGTCATGGATCCCATACCGGGACGGAATAGCTGTCCAGTGCTTTCAGGTTTCTAGTAGTGATCTAACAATGATTGATTCATGATTTCAATGATCAACCCTGTCAGGTGTAGGCAGTAACTACCAAAGACAAATGGATGAGGTCGCGAAAAATCCCTAGATCAATCAGAGTTAGACATTAACACCGTAGGATACCGGCCCAGTGGTCCGATGGTTGGGCGTTCGCGCACAATACCGAAGGTCCCGGGTTCGAATCCTGTGAGGTGCAGGGGTCGTGGGTGCGCACTGTCACTGATGAGTCCTATACCAGGACGAAACGGCCGTCTAACAATGACTGATTGATGATTTCAAATGTGTAAAAACACAAATCTCCAAAATTCTAACTGAAGAATATTTATAATGAAAAATATAATGAGTGAATGATTACAATTGAAATCGCCATTACGTCACTACATGTAATAGTTGGAAAAGTACAAGTTGATAGTATGAGGACAAAGGTGTACTGATAGTGGTCAGAAGAATAAAATGCCATAACAAAAGTTTTTGTCACTAGTTCAACATTGGAATTAGTAGTATGTCTAATCACCTTAATCGCCTTTATGAAATGTTTTTAATGGACCATTGTGAATCATCTGATTATTGAAAAACTAAACAGAAATTACCATAATGCTGGTTTGTATGTAATCCAACTTCTGTGTCCCTTACAGAAACAAGAAGTAATTACTATGGAATACATCAGTCAGTCAGTCAGTCAGTTAGCTACAACTTAGAACTTCGTACGTACGGACGTACATCAGTTCAAGTTGCCATACCACAACATTAGCACATAAAGATGCAATTGTCAATTGAAATCCCATAGTGGTGTAGTGAGGGAGAACACAGGTGAGGGCAACCGAGTTGTATTTATCGAAAATTAAAGAGTTACTCATTAAAATAGGAAAACCATATCGTAAACGGTTAATTTGCAAATCTTCAATCCATCATCAATCCATTGTCTGACATTTCACTTATTCATGCGTTTCATACAAATTCCATTGTTTTCTAACTCTTCCTTTCTTGATCTTCCCCCATCTTCTGCTGCTGCCAGACATTACGTTTACACTCACGTCATATACTACTTATAAGTAGCGCGCACCACAGTGGTAGTTTGAAATTCATGCATCCAATACATTCGACAGTGTAATATCAAATCTATAATGTCACTGACAAGTAGACTGAGCCATGTTGGTAGTTGTAGACTATCTGGTTGAGGTCCGCGAGACTATCGTAACCGATCGCTAGACACCTTGAATGACATGGCTTAAAATCGTTTGCAATGGCACAGATGTGTATCCACTCTTTGTGTTTTCTTAAATCCTAATCTCCTAAATTCCTCATTACCTTTGTATTTCTCTTTTAAAAATTTTGTTTCACTGAGTTATACTTCTTGAATAATATCTTCCAACCCCAATCTTCTCCATTATCGCTCATACTGCTACTCTCTCTATACTACTATGTGATTTGAATTGACAGTTGCGTCACTGTGCTAATGTGTTATGGCAACCTGAACTGATGTACGTACGTTTCAAATGACTGACCGACTGACTGAGGATAAAATATCTATCGATCGATATCGTGGTATTGAATAGTTTTTCAATCAATATTGAAATCAAACGATAACTTAAATTAAAAAATTCTACCATAACATTATAGGAAGTAAAAGTATCTTAAGCAAACTTCATTAAAACATTCCGATCGTGGATATTAGGAGAACACATTTTATAAGGGAACAATATTAGATCGTTATCAGTTTCGATTGGATTTACATAAAAAGAAGAGTGAAAAATACTTAGATTATGAATAATCTATACAGAAAGTGGCAGAAAATTACATAAAAGTATAAGATGTGAAAAAAATTTTTAAAATCATTTATTAAATTTTATCCACTGAACAGTATTCTCTAACTTATCTGTCTTCAGCCTTCCTTTGCAGCTCTGTGAAACATGGCCAGTGAGAGTAGAAGATATTCGTAGGTTACTGGTTTTCGATCATAGTTGTCTCCGAAGCATTGCTCGTATATCGTGGGACACCCGAGTGAGCAACGCTGTTATTAAGAAACGGGTGCTAGGTAAGAATGTCAGATCAATAGATGAAGTAATGAAACGTCGTCAGTTGAGGTGGTTGGTATATGTGTTAAGTATGGATAACTACCGACTGCCTCGACGAGCTATGTTTTGTAGTGTAGGAGTAGATTGGAAGAAATTTAGGGGCGGCCAGACCAAAATATGGCAGAAATGCATGAAGTTATTGACAAAAGGACTGAGTCATGTCGGTAATTGTCGACTACCTGGTTGGGGTGCGCGAGATGATAATAATCGATGGTTAGAGACCTTGAATGACATGGCTCAAAATCGTTTGCAATGGCGCCGGTGCATTTATTCTTTATGTTCTCTCAAATCCTAATCTTCTGGATTCTTCAAACCCTCTAGTTTTGACTTTCGAAACTTATCTTTCTGAATCATACTTCTTGAATAATATTTTCTAATCGTAATCTCTCTGATTACTTCTAATACCTTAACTACCTCTTCTACTATTGGATTTGAATTGACAATCATATCTCTGTGCTGATGTGGTATGCCAACATGAACTGATGTACTTACGTACGAAGTTCTACGTTGTATCTGACTGACTGACTGTCCAACGTAGGAAGGCACATGGGTGGTCACGAAATTCTTCTGAACATACATAAATTAGGGTTGAATGTTCAGATCCCTACGGTTTCTACTTTATATGTGTAGGGGGTGGGATCGAACTCCGTTGGGAAATGTTGGAGGTATCCAACAGATTACGTGAAATGATTCAGTTTCATCTTTGTTCTTATGATCACTATCAATGTGTTAAGCTAGAACTGCGTATTGTTTTTCATTCAGCCCTTTCCAAACCATGCGAGGAAATGTTCACTCATTCGTTGGTTCAGTTTTTATGTGCTCAGAATATTCTCCCCTCTTTATTATGAAATTTATTTCCGGAAATCATTGAAAGTGGCGGAATTTTTGATAGTATCAAATTATGTTGATCACAGATGATAAGATGATACATAGCTGTGTATTTTTGCGTGTGTGTTAGGATAGTGTACTCATTTACTTAGGCCTGTTACCACCGATGGAGCATAGGCCACCCACCAGTTTTATTCAGCCTACTCTGTCCTGGGCTTCGCTTTCCAGTTCTGTCTGATTTTTGTTCATTCTTCTCCTGCCTGTCTCCATTTCTCGGCGTAATTTGTCTTTTGGCCTTTCTCTTCTCCACTGACCTTGATGATTCCAAGTGAGTGATTGCATGGTTGATTTCTTCAATATGTGTCCTATCCACTTACAGCTGTGAATACTGTGCAGATGCACAAATCAAGACAAGTGATATTTCTTAGGGAATCACTCCTAGGGTGTTTGACCTACAGGATTAATCTACGAGACAGAGGAGCAGTCTCATAGTACTCAGTGACTAACAGTCGGTCCAAATGACATCTGTTCCCTTGGTATCCAGGTGCCACGATTAGTTTTCCTCCATACCCATCGATTTGGTTTAAGAGCTTGGCATCCCTTTCCCATCCGCTTAATTGTATCGGCAGCAACCGCTGTGCAAGAAGGTGAGTAGTGACTGGTGAACTTCCTTGTCAGTATCTCTAAACACATGGCCTCCGTATGAGAGCATTTCAAGAAAAAATAGAAAGAGACTGTGTGTAGTCTCTCCCTACACTTGACCGTACCAAAGCAGTTTTGAGTACTCGAGTAATAGATACTTCAATAAAAACGTAATTGTTATTTTTTGGGGAGGTTAGATCCCCGGAACTCACTTGAAAAATGTCTTCATTTCGGATTTTATTCATGGGCTGATCAGTTGACCTTGGGATCACATTTCTCTCCAGGAAAATCCTTGACTGTCATTGGTTGGTGTGTTATTTTAATACGCTATTTTTGTGGCTCTCCCAACGACGTTTCTATCATGCATAAGTAAACTCAATTTGTGTGCTTGAGGACCTCATATTTTCAGGTTGCTTGTAGAATAAGCTTTCTACGTCAGATCAAGACTTTTTCTTCAGTTAGTTAGGGTAGCGGATTAGAGTAGCCTATCGTGTCACTGGCTGATCGTCTCGTTCTCATTCATCGACTAAAGTGAACTCGAAATACTTTCAAGTATATCAACTGACGAGATTAATATCATTACTGCTTGTGTAGTGAACGAGAACACAGTTAAGGGCAACCGAAAATTACAGAGTTACTCAGTAAAATCGGAAAACCATATCGTTAATTTGCAAAATATCAGTTCATCATCATATCGAACTGGACTGTTCCTGTTGCAAAACATCAACAATCCATTGTCACTATTCATGCGTTTGTTTCATACAAATTCCATTGTATTCCCACTCTTCCTTTCTTGATCTTCCCCCATCTTCTGCTACTGCCAGACAATACATTGACACTCACGTCATATACTACTTATAAGTAGCTCACACCACACTTGTTCACAAGTTTGTTTTCCTTCTAAATTTTTTTTCTCCAAGGGATTATATAGTGAAGTGTTAGGTCCAACATTGCCTACACTTATGTTTAATACAAATTGTGATTATGAACAAATTGGTATGGCATTATCAACACGTGCAATTGGTTTATTATTTGGTTCGCTGATTGGTGGAATCCTGTCGGATCGATTTAAAACATGGCGAGCTGCTTTCATCATGTTATCATTAACGGTTGGCGCAATCACAACATTGATTATACCATGGTGTCGAAATATTATCATTTTAACTATGATATTATTTATTGCTGGCTTATCACATGGTTTTCTTACAACAAGTAAGTGAGGATAATTATTAATTTGGGGAAAAAAAGGATCGAGTTAATTTTGGGGTTTTTATGTAATATTCTTTTTTATTAGTTTGTAATAATTGAGTAGTGAGTGAGTGAGCAAGTGAGTGATATAAATTATAACTTTCCATGGTTTCTTTCACAGTTTATAAGAATTCTTCTTTTGAGATGTAAACCACGCACTCACTTACTTACTTACTTAAGCTTGTTACCCCTATTGGAACATAGGCTGCCGACCAGCATTTCCTAATCTACTGTGTCCTGAGCCTTTCCTTCTAGTCTTGTCCAAATGCTATTCACTCTTCTCATATCTGTCAACATTTCTCGGCATAATGTGTCCCGTGGTCTTCCTCTGACCTTGAGGGTTTGATGTAAGGGCTTGAGCTGTGATGCAGTCGGATGCTCTCCTCTATGTGTGTCCTATCCACTTCCAACGCTACTTCCTGAGTTCTTCCTCTGTCGGAATTCGGCTTGTTCTCTCCTACAGTAGGTTATTGATGATGGTGTCTGACCAACGGATCCGAAGTATTTTGCGTAGGCAACTGTTATTAACTATTTGTATCTTCTGGATGATGTCTGTGGTAATTTTCCTAGTTTTTGCGCCTTACAGTAGAACTCTCTTGATATTTGTATTGAAAATTGTGACTTTGGTGTTGGTTGGTAGTTGTTTTTAGTTCCAGATGTTCTTCAATTGTAGATATGCAGCCCTTCCTTTGCCATTTCACACCTTCTCATTAGTATTAGATCCGCCGTGCTCGTCATTGATGCTGATCAAATATGTAAAAGTTCTTACGTCCTCCATGGTGTGTCGATCAAGTGTGATTTGGTTAGCTCATGTTGTGTTGTATTAGAGAATCTTGCTTACTCTCCTGTAAATGTTGAGACCCACTACTGCTGAGGCTGTTGTCACATCGGTCATCTTCCATTGCATTTTTTGTTGCGTGTGCGATAGAATAGGTCGTCTATCTGCGTCCTATCTGTCCATTGGATACCATGCTTTCCTCCAGATGTCAACGTCTTCATAATCCAGTCGATGATCAGGAGAAAAAGAAAGGGTGAGAGTAAGCAACCTTGTCTGACACCGGTCTTTATCTCGAACGAATCTGTTAGTTGTCTTCCGCGCGCGATATATATTACTGATAGTAGTCTAGTCAACTGAACAGTAAATTTATTTTTTATTGAAATGATGAATCGATTAACGTTAGACGTTAAGCATTGGAAACCCCGAAGCACTGTGCAGTCTTAGTGAATAAAACTCAGAACTTCCAGTCTTTACAATTCATGCACGTGTGAGTTGTAGATACACATTGATGAGTTCACTGTTCTAGAATTTCTAATGCTGGTCTAACATTGATCAATTCATGATTACAATGAAACTCAATCATCTCCATAATCTTATGATGAAAATTTAAATTTCCCTATCTCTGTTTAAGATGTTAGTAACTAAAATAATCATATACGAATGTTTTATCTATCACATACTACTGAATTTAGTTGATAAACCATAGAAAATCAAAGATGAGTGGGAAGATGTATTGTCACAGCATTGAATAATTCAGCCGTGCACACCCACGAGATCACTCGACATCGATGATCATGAGACGATTAGTTGCATCATCGAACCACTTAGTTGGAATTCAATGGTAGACAGTCAGTCAACTTGTATCTTATACCATTATTGAAGACCGTTTTATTCTCCCGCTGTTTGACCTTCAGAGATCAAGGTTTTTCAACCTAATGATTTAGAAAACTCATTTAAAAAATGTAATGTGTTCTCCGAAATTGTAATCTTCTGAATTCCTCATCACCTCTATCTTTCTCTTTGTCAATTTATTTCATAGGATTATACATCTTGATTCGTATCTTCGAATCTTAATCTTTTCCATTACTGCTAATACTTCTATCACCTCTACTACTACTACTACTACTACTGTGGGATTCGAACCTATAATTCCATCTCCCTGTTTGCTTATGTTGTGGTATCGCAACTTGAACTGATGTGAGTAAGCACGAAGTTTTACACTGTAGCTGACTGACTTACTGACTGACTTAAAAATACCTATTCTGAGTTTCCATTGATATTTCAACTGGTTTCAGTCTTCGGTACACGCTGTTTACCTGTTGGGGACATTAGATCCCCAGAATTCACATGGAAAAGGTCCTAATTTTGATTTTTTTTCTACGTTTTTGCGCATAAGTCTCTTAGTTGACCATCAGCTCACATTTCTCACTCGGAAAATCCTTGACTGTCATTACTTGACGGATTATTTTAGAACGCTACTTTCTGGCTCGCCCAAAAACGTTTATATCATTGTATAAATAAACTTGATTTGTATGCTGAGCAACCTCCAAATGGGTGCCTGTAGAATACATTCTGTACGCCTTATCAAGACTTACTGCTCTAGTTAGTAGGGCAAGGGACAATCCGATTAGAATGGCCAATCGTGTCAATGCATTGCTGTTCTTCGCTCCGTTCACCGACCAAGATGAACTCGTAATCGTTTCAAGCATATCAATTGACGGGCAAATCAGATATACCCTGTTTTGAGGAGCTCTTAATCAGGTTGTCGTGTACTGATTATTTAGTGAATATCAGTGGAAAAATCTAAAAATTCTCTGAAGTAGAATATTATTTACAATAAATCTATAATCATCATTCATTTTAATTCTGAACAGAGAAATGAGAAGACATATTTTGTGAGATAGTACCATTTCGTGCTTTCTCGTCAGTCACATACAAGCAACATGTAAATACAGTTTTGAAGATAAGGTCAAAATTTCTTATTTTGCATGACATTCACTCACTAGAAGAACCATGGTAAACAAAGGTCAACATACAGTTGTTTTTGTGAACACATAAACTTGGACTTTTCCGACCAATCAAGATAGCTTCGAGTAGTTTGAGTCTGTGTGGGTTTTGATGACATGTCACAACTCTAAAGGCTGATTTTGGGTCAATTTGATGACCACTCATCATTAGCTGTTTTGCAATGGATGAGGCTGGGTTTCTTGATCGATCTTGAGATGACGGGCTAGGTTGATGAATCACGGATTTGATTAACCATTTTGGAATATGTTCCGCTATCCTGTCTTCCAATCGGCGATCTGTTCTGCCCCAGTGACTTTCTCCGCAGTTACATGTGCATTGGTAAATACAGTGGGATTTGGACTGAATCGGTCTTGGAGACTTGATTGGGGTAATTGAGATCGATTGAGTTGTTGTGATTAGCCTCAGATTAGCTGCATTGAAGGTCTTTTATTTTATTCCAGCTGCAGTCTGTTTGGTTGTAATTTTCATGCAATGATCACCCTTGAAAGCTAACTGTAGGTACACTGCTTTCTTGGGCACATCAGTTGCTATCAGTTTCGTCGTATTTGTGTTCTGATGATCAATAAACGTTTCGGGATATCCGTTTATTTTAAGTGTCTCAGTAATAAGCTTGAATTCGTCGTCCAATGTATCAACAGTGCAGATTCTACTTTCTCGAGCAAATAAAGTTTTGACAACAGAACGTTTATATTGTATGGGGCAAAAACTAGTGAAGTGGAGGTACTGACTGTCCCGACCAGGTGGGTTTGCGGTGTACTTTTCGTCTGATTGATCCGTCTGGACGGCGATGGAGCAGGATATCGAGGAAAGCTAGTTCATTGTTCTTTTCTTCCTTATCTGAATGTCATGCTAAATAAGAAATTTTGACCTTATCTTCAAAACTGTATTTAAACGAATAACATGTGACTGACGGGAAAGCACGAAATGGTACTATCTCACAAAATATGTCTTCTCATTTCTCTGTTCAAATTTGTCAAAGGGAACCATTTTAATTCTGTACGAAAATCTGATAGACAGTCAGTAATCAATACAAACTAAATCATTAGATGTAAGGGAAGGAAATTCACCCAAAAAGCACACCAATCAGAGCTAATAACCTTGACCTTATGGCTAATAAATTCTGATCAGTTTTCCGATTCGTTAAATCATGGCTCTGATCAGCTCCTTACCCTTGAGTGTAAAAATCTGAACCAGCCCCTACGATATATAATTTGTATTTCAGCTAGATTTAGTTTAAATAAACTACAAATCTTTTTATCTCTTAAACTAGACATTCATTAAATCACTATTTTTCAGTTAGAGTTGTGCGGATCGTTGTTTTCACACATCGAAATCATGAACAAATCATTGTTAGACCACCATTAGAAACCTGGATGGCCGTTTCGTCCTGGTATGGGACTTATCAGTCGTAGTGTGCATCCATAACTCCTGCTACTTTCAGGGTTTGAAACCAGGACCTTCAGTCTTGCGCACGGACGCCTAACCTCTGAATCACTGAGCTGTCACACAACGGTGTTAATGACTAACTCTGATCGATCTAAGGATTTTGAGCGACCTCACTCATTTGTCTTTGGTAATTACTGCCTTCACGCGACAGATTTGAAATCCATTTGGTCACGTCTTTAAGTGTTCCGTTTTTACCAGAATTCATTTTCAGATCTGTTCAATATTAAATATACACTACTTTTTTCTCCGTAATAATAATAATAATAGTAAAGAATAAAAGATTTTATGAAATGTTTCTTAGGTCAGTCAGTTAGTCACTCAGTCAGTTACAACATAGAACTTCGTACGTACATACATCAGTTCAGGTTGCCATACTGTATCAGCACAGAGACGCAACTGTCAGTTCAAATCCCATAATGGTAGAGATAGTAAAAGTATTAGCAGTAACGGAGAAGTTTAGGGTTCTAAGATATTATTCAAGAAGTTTAATTCAGTAAGATAAATTCAGAAAAGGAAAGATAGAGGTAATGTGGAATTCAGAAGGTTAGAATTTGAGCGAATACAACGAGTAGATTCACCTGTGCCATCGCAAACGATTCTCAGCCATGTTGTTCAAGGTCTCTAACCATTGGTGACTTTCGTCTCACGAACCCCAACCAGGTAGCCTACATCTATGAACATGACTCAATCCACTTGTCAGTGACTTCATACA